TAGATGATAGATAGATAGATGATAGATAGATGATAGATAGATAGATAGATAGATAGATGATAGATAGATAGATGATAGATAGATAGATAGATAGATAGATAGATAGATAGATAGATGATAGATAGATAGTTAGATAGATAGATAGATAGATAGATAGATAGATAGATAGATGATAGATAGATAGATAGATGATAGATAGGTAGATAGATAGATATAGATGATAGATGATAGATAGATAGATAGATAGATAGATAGATAGATAGATAGATAGATAGATAGAGATTAAGGATGTGGGTGGGTAGGTGACTGGGTGGGTGGGGGGATAAATAACCAGACAGGCAAGGCCTCTGACCACTGCAAAAAGTGAATGTAACATGTGACTTGCATCTTCCTGGCTTGCCCAGTGTCTAGGCATGCTTTTTTGAGCATCTCAAAAGCACACCTTCTGAGTCATTTAATCTTATGCCAGGGTCACTGCAGGGTGTGCCCTGGAGTGAATACTAAGTCTGGGAATTTCTCAAGTGTACAGACACTCAAGATAAACATATGCCTGTGGAAGGTTTGGGGCCTCAAAAGTACCTGGTACCCCAGAGTCCTAAGGGTAACCCCTGCCTCTTGAGGTATCTCTCCCTAACCTCACAGAGTAGCTCTGGTCACAGGCTGCCACTCACCAACTCCTGCTGAGTCTTTGGATTCTTCATTGTACCTGTGAACACTGTTACAACAGTACTGTGAGGTTTTTCTCCTCTTGAGGAAGTCAAGGCACAGAGCAGTCATGTCACCTAATCTAGGTCTCTACTCTAAAAAGCAGCAGAGTTTTGGAGGCACTCCTAAGCTCATACTCTTGACACTTCTGCCCATGCAGCTGTTTGTACAAGTGAAGGGGAGGCAGGGCCTTCCAACCCCATCCAACTCCAAACTCAATACCCAAGATCACACTGGAACTCCTTGTAGCCCCTGGGTTAATGGCTAGGTAGGGCTTCATGGGAAGATGGACAGCATCTCCTGGCTCCCATTCTGGGACATGCATAGAACATGGTCTCCTAAGGTGCTCCCACTGGGAGACTAAGACACCCCTCTCTCCTGGAGAGTATGGAGAACTCTGGAGACAGAGCTTCCTCCTGCTGAGCTCAGGCCACACCCAAGGAGGACAGGTTGCCTCCTTTTGCTGGCACTATCTAACTCAGACAACCCAGTGACATGCAACAAACTCCAGTTCAGTTTCTCCTCTGTGAGGCTCTGGGCCATTCACCAAAATCAAAGTGCAGCAACAGCTCCAAGCATCCCATCTTGAAGCTGCATTTTAATAAGAGTCCAGGTTGGCCGGGAGTGGCTCAGTGGTTGAGCGTTGACCTGGGATCCAGGCGGTCTGGGTTCGATTCCTGGTCAGGGCACATGCCTGGGTTGTGGGCTCGGTCAATGACTCTCTCATCATTGATGTTTCTATCTCTCTCTCTCCCTCTTCTTTCTGCTCTCTGAAATCAATAAAGATATAATTAAAAAAAAAAAAAAAGAGTCCAGGGGAAGTACTTTCCCCCAAAAGAAACTTATTCCAGTTCATCTTAGCCCCCCATCCTTCCTGGTTCAGAGGCTCTGCCTGGGCTCAGGCAATGATGGAAAAGCATCTTTAGAAGACCAGAATGGATGCTCAGAGCTATGATTCCTCAAGTGGAGATGGAACGGAAAGATCAGTATTCCCAGTGGGGACTAAGGAGGCCTTATTATTATTATAAACCAGGCTCACTTCATTGGCTGCAAATGGTGGAGTGATGTGACCATATGTCACTTGGGCATTAAACAAATCCTAATGAGCTAAAAATGTTTCTTTTAGCTAACTAACCTCTTTGGCCTTCATAAACCACTTGGTAAACATCCTCAGATAATGATTTCCAGAGAGTAAATTGTGGCTGTCAAGTGTGTTATGAAAGCCCCCCACCCCCAACCCCAAGGCCACCTCCTCTGACTGCCTGCGGAGACACACATGTGTGCCTGCGTGCTGTCTGCACAGCCCAAGAAGTGTGTGCTGGAGAAAACAGGTCCAAGTGGGAGGAATAGAGCCTGGCCACTCTCCCAGCACTCTTCTCTGGCTGTGTGACCATGCTTTCAGCAGTAGTTGTCTCTGAGCCATAGTTGTCTCATCTGGTAATTGAGTGAAATGCCCACCTTTGGAAGGATGAAGAGAAAAAAAACAGGGGTTCTAGGTCCTAGGCAGGACCCACGTCACTTCCACTTGAAGGAGCAGGAACTGGGAGCTTGAGAGTCCAGTGGTTGGTCACCTGGAACCGGCTCATGTGCTCCACACAGAAAGGGGAGTGATCTGGTTACCAGTGGGGCCTGAAACCACAGGGATTCAAGTCCTACTACTCAGTTCTCCTTGTGAGGAGTCGGCTATGGACCGAGCTCTCAGCCAACAGGAGAATGGATGCTCCTCAGACCTCAGAGCTAACTTCATCTGGCCTGGAATCCCTGGTTCTGTGATGTCCGAAGGCAGGTCCCCTCCTCACTCACCAAACGCTACGCTGAGTTCCAGACATGTCATTTGAAAGCTGTCAGGAGGGCATGGGAATAAACTTAAAACCCTGAAGTTGAGGTGGGCCTTGGACTCAATCTCTGCACTGCCTGAGCCGATGACCCCACAGGCTTTCTCTCCACTCCCACTTTCCCCCACCTGCTAAACTGTTTCTTCACCTATAAAATAGAGATAACATCTAACAGGGAGGACATAACTGAGTGCTTCCTTCTTGCTTGATATTGTGAAGTGCTCTACATATACTTTCTCACTTAATTACACAATAAGTGAGACCTGAAGCCACAGAGCACACAGTGGCAGAACCAGGCCTCCAATGAATTCTATCTAATTCCAGAGGCATGGGTCACCAGTGCAGTGGGGAACTGCTATTTACTTGTAAGTTAATAACTCCACCTTGCAAGGAAGACTGTTAGCCTATAAAGCATGGAGCACAGTGCCTGCATGTGGCAGGAACTCAAAATAAATGGTAGTTATTCAAATTATTATGCACAGAGGTGACACAGCAAGATGAGATTCAACATACCTCTGGGTCAAACCACCACTTCAGCCTGGCCCCCAGGGCTGATGAGCTTGAATTAGCTGGGATTAAAGGCTTACTGGAGGTGGAAGCCAAACCTCAACTCCCACATTTAGCCTCAGACCTTCTGTATGCCCACTAAGAAGGGTAATGAAACAAGGCAGCCACACAGGGCAGCACTGTGGCCTCGCACATGGCCAATGCAGCTCTGTGCAGGAGCCAGCCCTCCTCCTGGATGCCCATGATGAGAGAGTGGGCCATGCTTTGGTCCAAGCTGCTCTGCAGCCTGGCTGGCTCCACACACCTCTTCCAGAAAACATGGTGCTGTACATGGCCAAGGTCCTCCTGGATAACTACTGCTTCCCTGAGAATCTGATGGGCCTGCAGGAGGCCATCGAGCAAGCCATTGAAAGTCGTGAGATCCTGGGCATCTCAGACTCTCAGACGCTGGCCTATGTCCTGATGACAGGGCTGCAGAACTTCTTTAATGACCCCCACCTGGTCATCTCCTATGAGCCCAGTGCCCTTGCAGCTCCATGGCAAGTCCCAGCACTCACCAGCCTCACGCAAGAGGAGCCGCTTGCCCTGCTGCAGAAGGGCATCCACCATGATGTCCTGGAGGGCAATGTGGGCTACCTGCAAGTGGACAATGTCCCAAGCCAGGAGGTGGTGAGCAAGCTGGGGGGCTTCCTGGTGGCCAGTATCTGGAGGGAGCTCATGAGCACCTCCGCCTTGGTGCTGGACCTCCAGCACTGCACTGGGGGCCATGTTTCTGGCATCCCCTATATCATCTCCTACCTGCACCCAGGGAACACAGTCCTGCACATGGACACTATCTATGACCTCCCTTCCAATATGACCACCAAGATCTGGACCTTGTCTTAGGACCTGGAAGAGACGTACAGCGCTGACAAGGATGTGGTGGTCCTCACCAGTGGTCACATCATAGGAGTAGCCGGGGCATTGAGTGCATCCTCAGATGCGCAGGGTCATCATGGTGGGTGAGTCGATCACGGGGGGCACCCTGGACCTCCAGAAGCTAAGGATAAGCCAATCCAATTTCTTCTTCACCCTGCCTGTGTCCAGGTCCCTGGGGCCCTTAGGTGGAGACAGCCAGATGTGGGAAGGCAGTGGGGTGCTGCCTTGTGTAGGGATACAAGCCAAGCAGGCCCTAGAGATGGCCCTGGCCATTCTCACACTGCGCAGGGTCCTGCCAGGAGTCATGCAGCTCCTGCAGGAGGCCCTGCAGGACTACTACATGCTGGTGGACCGCGTGCCCACCCAGCTGCACCACCTGGCCAGCATGGAATTCTCCACTGTCGTCTCTGAGGAGGATCTGGTCACTAAGCTCAACGCTGGTCTGCAGGCTGTGTCCAAGGACCTTAGGCTCCTGGTGCAGGCCCTCAGGCCTAGAGAAGCCTCTTCTGGTCCTGAGGCTGGAGCCAATGACATGTCCCCCCCAGGTGGCTTGAGTAGTGCCAGAGGATGAGATTGCCCTGTAGGTCCTGGTGAACTTCATATTCCAGGTATCGGTGCTACCTGGAAATGTGGGCTACTTGTGCTTTGATAGACTTGCCCATGCATCTGTGCTGGGGGGCACTGGGCCCATACATCCTGCCCCAAGTGTGGGAGCCTCTACAGGACACAGGGCACCTCATCATGGACCTGTGCCAGAACCCCGGGGGGGTGTCCTCCTCTGTGCCCCTGCTGCTGTCCTACTTTCAGGGCCCTGAAGCCAGCCCCATGTGCCTCTTCACCACCTATGACCTCTGCACCAGTGTCACGCAGGAGCACTTCATCCGCACGGAGCTGCTGGGTCAGCTCTACGGCTTTCAGTATAAGGTATAGCTTCTCACCAGCCACTGCACTGCCATGGCTGCCAAGGAGTTGGCCTTCCTCATGCAGTCGCTGGGCTGGGCCACGCTGGTGAGTGAAATCACTGTGGGCAGCCTTCTGCAGAGCCAAACTGTGCCTCTGCTGGAGACCCCAGCAGGTGGCCTGGAGCTCATGGCGCCTAAGCTCACCTTCATTGACACCCACGGTGAGTGCTGGCTGGGGGGCGGCATGGTGCCCGATGCCATTGTGCTGGCCGAGGAGACCCTAGACAGAGCCCAGGAGGTGCTAGAGTTTTCCACTGCAGCCTGGGGGCCTTAGTAGAGGGCACCAGACGCCTGCTGGAGGCCCACTATGCACGGCCAGGGGTCATTGGGCAAATAAGAGACTTGCTAGGAGCCAAGCTGGCCCAGGGGGCCTACTGCACCATGGTGGACGTGGAGTTCCTGGCCTCCCAGCTCATGGCTGACCTGCAGGAGATGCCTGGGGACCACCATTTGCTGGCGTTCCACAGCCCCTGGGAGCTGGCTGCAGAGGACGCGCTCCTGCTGCTCCCTGCCTTTTTCTCCCCAGAGGAGATCTCCTACCTTACTGAGGCCCTGTTCAAGATGGAGGTGCTGCCAGATCGGCTGAGCTACTTGCATTTTGATGCCTTGGCCAAGCTGGAATGGTGAAGGTCATCAGACCGCAGCTGGTGCAGTTGGTGTGGCAGAGGCTCGTGGGAGGTGGTCACTGAAGCAAAGAGGGGTGAGGGAGCAGGGAGAGTGGAAACCAAGGAGGAAAAGCTGACAAGCTGGCATTATTGGTTCCAACAGGACCCTGACAAGTGTGAGGACTGCCATTCCTCTGCAGCTCCTGTCTTCCACTGGCTGAGGGTTGCCCCAAGGGACATGATCTCTCTCAAACTCTGAGGAAGCTTGGAAAAGGTTTTGAAGTGGAGAGTAGGAAAACCTAAGTGTGTGCTGGAGGCAGGGCCCTATCAGCTGGGGTCCAGATGCAGCTGAAAGCAGAGGAGGGCTGAGGGCACCAAAAGCAGCTACTGCAGAATTGTTATTCCATTGCACAAAAACAGAAGCTGAGGTCTGGAAGGGTGCAAAGGAGAGTGGCCCCTGGGAGCTTGTTAGTGAGAACAGAGCATGACCTGCAGGCCATGTGTCCCAGTCAATGGGGACTCCTTGCCCTCAGTCCAGCTTGCAGAGCTGGCGGCCTTCCAGCAGCCTTGGAGAGAAAGGGGGAGGCCAAGGCATGATGGGGGAGCCCAGTAAGTGCCAGTACTGTGCTAGGCTCATAGTGCCTCCAAATTCTAATTGAGGGCTCACTCCTTCCAGTGTAGTCAGAGTTCACAGTTTGGTGTTACATGTGGATTTGGATTCTGGCTCTACCACTTACTGGCTGTGTGACCTTGGGCAAGTTACTTAATCACTGTGTGTTTCAGTTCCTCATTAAAAAGATGGGAGTTATTGACTCCTCTACCTACAGGGTGGCCACAAGGCTGATGGTAGGTGCTACAAAGTGCTCAGCACACAGCCAGGCCCCTGTAAAGACTCAGGGACCCCATAGCTAAAGTCATCCCTCCCTGCCCCAAGGGAGAGGAGCAAGATGAGCTCAGGGACATCAAGAAGTGTCTGGTGAGATCAGGGAAAGCAGAGTGGAGCCAATGCCTAAGCCTTTCAGCTCCAGGGCATGGGGTTGGCATCATGGGCATTCTTGGTAAGGAGGCTGCCAACCACACGTGGTTTCATTGCCCAGGGCTCCCAACCACATAACCTCCCCCACCATCAGAAAAGGTCCTGGCACTTACTCCCTCCTTCAGAAATGTTTCCCTTTTTATACCCTTAATATTCCTCTTGACACAAAGGAAATCTTTGGTGTCTGCCTTTCCAAGCTTTGAACTCTGCTCCTCTCCCAATAATGAATTGGATCTCTCAATCTTTCAGATCCCTCCCCTGACGTCTTTGAAGACCTGATCAATTTTCCTTCCACACTACCGTGCTTGAGGACAACATTGGCTATTTGAGGTTTGACATGTTTGGAGACTGTGAGCTGCTCACCCAGGTCTCAGAGCTGCTGGTGGAGCAAGTCTGGAAGAAGACTGCACACGGGTGCCATGATTATTGACATGAGGTCAGTGGGCTGGGGGTCAGGAGTCCCTGGCCAGGCCAGGGCTTCTGCTGGAAGACAGTCAAAGTTATGGGCCCAGTAGAGAAGATAACAAACCCTAATGGGAATTGAAGAGGACTGGGTCACCTGGCTATCAGGCCTCTGGCCAGGTAGCCCAAGGGTCTGATTTAATTGGCTGGGTGAGACCCCAGCACTGGTAAAATTTTAAAGCTTTTTTGATGAACCCAATGTGCCTTCCAGGCTGAGAATTACTGAGCTAATTCGCTGGTCCCCAACATGCCTGGCTATAGGGTTCCTTGGGGAGGGAAAGGGGGAGGCAAGGGAGACGTGAAGAACACTGATTCCGTTGCCTCCCCGCCAGCCCTACTGAGTCCAAAACTCCAGGGGCAAGGCTCCTGGGATGACAGGCATCATCCCAGGTCATTCTGATGATCAGTCATGTTTGGGACAGGTAGGTCTCCACCTGTGGTGTGGCTCACATCATAGAAAATGAACCCACCATCACCCTGGTCATGAGAATCATAAAGCAGGAGTTCCAGAGGGCATTTACAAATCAGCTAGTCTCCCCTTCTGCTTCTGTATAGGTGTGCCTGATAGAGGTGCCTTTCCCTCAGAGACAGGGGGCAAGTGAAAGAATTCTTTCTGGCAGTTGCCAGGGTCAAGCTCCCCATGACTCCTGGGCCCACCAGAAGCTTCCCTGGGCACCCTCCATGGCAAGAGGAGGGGCAGGCTCTTAGACAAATGCTGCTGGGATTGGCTGAGATGGAGTGTCTAGCTCTAGCAGTTGGCCTGCAACATTCTCATGGTTCATCATCACTAGATGGCTCTGGATCCCAGACTCTGGTTCTCCTCCCTGGGAGAGAAACTGTCTCCCAGGGCTCCAGTGTGCATGCCCAGAGCTTGAGATTGGGGGCTCCTGTATATACCTCTGATCTCTTCATTCTTCAGAAGTCTAGTAAACATTTGAGAGGCCTTCATGCTAAGTCTCTCTCTGCTAACTAGTGCCATACACTTTTTTTAAAAAAATGAAAGGAGACCCAGCCTATAGGTGTGCTTTGCTTAGAGATCCTTCCAATCTGCGGTTTGGAGGTTCAGGTGCTGAGGTCATGGGCCCTGAACCTAGCCAGGTGATCCTAGACCATCAACCAGCCCCATACTCTTTGTTTCCCAGATGAAGAGACAGGGGCCCAGGAAGATGATGACACGGGGCAAAACTAAGTGGCCTGGGACAGGCATAGCCACCCTCACTTCTGATGCAGTTTTGCAACTCTGAGCGCTCTGTCACACTATTTGCCATTAGGATACCTCAACGGAGACACCTAGTGGGCTTTGTGAAAATATTGAGAATGCAACTGGGAAGGACAGTGTTCCCAAGATGTGTTCCACTCACAGGAAACATGGGTGCATGGAAGCAGTCCATTGTCAGTAACTGGGGGAAATTTATCAACAAGCTCCTGACTGCAGGACTTGTCTCTTGTTTTCAAGAGACTTGTACTCTGGGGAACTTAGACCAAGAAATTCTGTAGGATGAGGAAGGGGCACTACAGTGAGGCTACCTGGAATTAGAACCATGTGCAGGACAAAGGTGCAGGCCTCCCAGAGGGGCACCAGGGGCCTCAGTGTGAGTTCTGCTCTCAGTGGCCTCCATTCTCTCCCCTCAGGTTCAACATCGGAGGCCCCGCCTCCTCCATCTCTGCTCTGTGCTCCTACTTCTTCCACGAAGGTCCTCCCATTCTGCTGGACAAAATCTACAGCTGGCCCAATGACTCTGTCAGTGAGCTCTGGACCTGCACCAGGTTCACAGGTGTGTGCAGATGCCTTTTCCTTCCTGTTCTCATTCTAGAAGCTTTGGAAAACTAGAGAAAGACAGCTTGGGTTCAGGTAAAAGTAAATGGAGTATAAAGCCCTTCTCCTACACCATGGACTTTTATACTTTGCACATATGATCTTTAATCCCTGTAAAACTTGTACCATTAGGCCCATTCTCTAGAGCAGGAAAATTAATCTCTCCTGAGTATAAAATCCTGCCTATATCACTCAGCTAATGAGCAAAAATGCCCAAACTTAAACACTGGTTTGTCTGAAACCAAAATGTCTCCCATTCTCCCCACTACAACCATCTACCTGAAAGACATATGCAGAACTAGAAGGATCCCCCTGCCCATCACCAGATCCCTCAAGGTTTCTAGTGTTCACCTTACCTGGATTCTCGGCAGCAGCTCAGCACACCTGCCTACAGAGTCCTGATGCTGACAGGGCTTCCGCTGCCTGCCTAGGCCAGAACGGTGAGCAGGGGGACAGGGCAGGCTGTGCGCTTTCCAGAGCCATGACCCTCCCAGGCCTGTCACTAGTGGACAGCCTCACTCTGTCCCCTTGCCCAGTGCCCAAAACTAAGAAACCTGCACTTCCAGTGACAAGAGGAAGCCAGGAGACCAGTGGATGTCCATGTGACCCAAAGAACACCCTGCAGTTTCCACTTGCACACTGCCCTATCACACAAGCATTGGGGGTTTCCAGTACACACAGTCAACGCTATTGCAAGATGTAAATACAAATCAGAGCTCGTGAATTCTAAATTCAAACAGATGTTCCAGACCAGGAGCTAAACACAGACTCAGATCTGCAGATCAGAAGTCCTCAAACTTTGATGTCTACTCTGGGAGCCTCTGAGCATGGACTGTGGCTCAGGTGAATGGTGATTTGTACAATTCATATGAATTGTGAAGTGTAAGGTGAATGCCAAATTTCAAAGGCATTTTATGAAGATGAAGGATTTAAAATATCTCATCAATAATTTTATTTAGCTATGTTTTTGAGATGAATATATTTTGGACATACTGAGTTTAAAAAAGCATTATTAAAATTCATTTTATCTGTTTCTTTTTACTTGTTTAATGTGGCTACTGGGAGACCTGAAATGACACTGTTGCTTGATCCTGGCTCATGCGTCATTCCCTTTGGACATCACTGTCCTAGAGGCTTGTTGTCAGTGTATCACACAACTCACAAATTTGGCTCTTCTGAGGATCCAAAGCGAAAAGAGAGTATGTCAGGTTAGCTATTTTTATTATTATTATTATTAATTTATTTATTTATTTATTAAATATATCTTTATTGATTTCAGAGAGAAGAAAGCAGAGGGAGAGAGAGATAGAAACATCAATGATGAGAGAGTCATTGATCGGCTGCAGCCCGCAACCCGGGCATGTGCCCTGACTGGGAATCGAACCCCGATCACCTGTATCCTAGGTCGACACTCAACTGCTGAGCCACTCCCAGCCGGGCTATTTTTATTATTAATAAAAGGGAAACACTCCTCTTTTTCAGAGAAGTCAAGCCTTTTCCCATTGCTTGGTGATAAAAGAATTGGAGGTGTGGCTCTGAAGCACTTACACGCTCAAGATTGGGTGCATGTTCTTATGCCCATTTTACAGATGCAGAGGCTGGGGCTCCGGAAGGTGGAGTGACTCGCATGCGGGCACGAGGATGCAGAACTAAACCCCAGGTTCTCCTCTCTGTGGGTCCAGACAACATGGGGAAGACCCAGGTCCCCCAGGGGGGCGCCTTGCCTCCCCATCTTGAAGGGCCGTTTCTTTTGCAGGCAAATGCTACCAGCTCCAAGAAGAGCATGGTCATTCTGACCAGTGGTGGAATGGCTGGCACAGCAGAGGAATTCACCTACATCATGAAGAGGCTGGGCCGCGTGTTGGTCATCGGAGAGGTGACAAATGGGGGCTGCCAGCTTCCACAAACCTACCACGTAAATGACACACACCTCTACATCACCGTTCCCATGGCCTGCTCAGTGGGGGCTGCAGACGGCAGCTCCTGCCCCACGTGGCTGTCCCTGGGAAGCAGCCCTCGCCAGAGCCAAGGAGGTGCTCCAGCACACCTTGATGAGGGGAGGCGGAGACACGACCAGTAGGCTACCTGAAGGGCCTCCGTGAGCACAACCCTCGTGTGGGTGAGACCTCTGGGCCACATACTGAGGAAGCTTAGGTACGTGGTCCTGACTGAGGGCCCCGAGAGGCGGGAAAGGGATGTGCTGAGCTCTGGTGAGGCTTAGAGGTGGAAGTACCCTTGGAGCTCATCCACCAGCCTGAGCACCACTGCCAGCATCCTCCGTCTGCACACCCAGGGAGATGGCCTTCTTCATAATAGCTGTTCGGGGAGGTGAAGTCCATGTCTATACTCATGCTTCCTAATTGCCAGCACTTGGTCATCATGATGTCAACTGGAGCAGACCTGTCCAATCGAGTTATAAGGTGAGCCACAGGTGCCAGGCATACGTGAATTTACGTTTTTTTGTAGCCACATTTAGAAAAGTATAAAGAAGCAGGTGAAATTAATTTCAATAATATATCTTACTTAATCCACTATATTCACAGTAGAATCATTTCAACACTCAGTATAAAAATTACTATGAATGAGATGTTTTTGTACAAAGTCTTTGAAATCTTACAGCACACTCCCACTCTCCTGTGCCACATTTCTAGTGCTCAATGGATCCTTAGCTGGCAGCTCCCGTACGGGACAGCGCAGGCCGAGGTGAGGGGCCCCTGCTCCCTAAGAACAACTGTCTCCACTCTACCCTCCATGCACCTGCATGTCCCTTCTGCCTGGGGTCATTTCTGTCCCCACAATGCTGCATCGTCCTCACGGGCAGGAGCTGTCCGACTCAGCTTCGCCTCCTACTGTGCAGGCAGTGGGTGCCCTGTGAATACTGGGCTGCAAGTCTCCGTTTTCCTCAAGTGGCAGCCCTCGAACACTCGAAGAGAAGTCTAGTTCACTTAGAATCCTCTCCTCCCAGCCCCAACTGCCCCCAGTCCAACTCTGCACAGCAGGTCCCTCCTTCCTTCACACGTGCCTCCCATGCCCTTGTTCTCCGGCTCCTGCCAAGGCCCCAAGGCGCCATGCAGCATCCTGACATGCCAGGCTGCTGCCAAGGGGAGAGCAGCGCTGGACGATGGTCTGGGTGTCTGCCCTGCTCTTTCAAGTGTACCCTGTTACTGTGATGGCTCTGGTGACCAAGCCCACTCCTGACAGGGCGAGAAGATTGTAGCATGCAGACCCCAAGACCACCTCCAAGGCTGAACAAGCCCCAGGAGGAGGTGAGGAGCACAGGGGTGACCTGGGAAATCAGGACCCTGGTGGTGCCCTGGGAACTATGTACCAGGGACCCCAAAGTGAGAGCTACCTTTAGGACTCTGCCTAAAGTCATGGTGGGGGTGAGGCCAGAAGAGCAGGGGTATACCAGGCCCCAAGATGTCTGAGTGAGGATGAGGACTGGTACATTCTGGCCTTGCGGCCTGTTGAGTCCAGGCCACGGATGCCATTTCCCCAGGGCACTGGGCTGATTTGACCACAGAGCCCTGACTTCACCAGCATCCTTCCCCGACTCCGGAGCTGTGGAATCTGGGCATACTGCTGGTCCACCACCAATACCACTGGAAAATTTTGAACCCTCCCTGCCTGAACAAGAAAGCCCAAATGGAAGGCAAGATTTCACTCGTTACTTTTCCTTCTGCTAAATTCAAATAAGATTAAGTGCATGATTGAATTTTAGTAGTATTGTATACGGCAATCTCAACCTTTCCCTTCATTAGACCTATTCACGTCTAGGCATATTTGGTCCCCTAATATAGCTTACATTATAGGGTTCTCTCTCTCTCTCTCTCTCTCTCGCTCTCTCTCTCTCACATACACACACATGCACACACACACCATATATATATATATATATATATATATATACACACACACACACACACACACACACACACACACACACACATACAGGGGGTCCAAAAATGTATACATACTTTAACAGCTGATAGCTCAATTTTGAAAATGAAATGTAGTTTAGTAAATACTGCCTTTAAACTTATTCAAAATGTGTGTATATATTTGGGGCAGATGCCCTATATGTATGGCTATCTGATGATCACCTACATTAGACCTACATGATTTCTTCTAGGTGGTTGAATCAGGGGTAATATTTTAAGTTTCTTCTCTATACCTTTCTTTTTTCTTAAATCCTTATATGAGTACATATGATTATTTTCAAATGAGGCAATCATTACTCCAAAAAGGAAATAAATAAGATAAAATAAATTATACAATTGAGCCTGTAATCATACCTTAGTGATCACTAGTGGTTAACTTTTTCCATGGGTTTTACTTTCAATATCATTTGGATTTCCTTGATTTGCACTACTGGCATTCATTTACAGCTTATTTTATTTAAGGCTTCAGGCTAGGTGCTGTGGGGCTCACATATGCTGAGGTTCTGCTGGGTCTTCACTAAGGGAAGGGGCAGAGCAGCTCTCAGGTTGGGTGACGTGCACAGTGCTCTCTTCCGGCATCACAGCACATGGGCAGCTGTCATCACCATCTCCACAGGAGTCAGTGGAGACTTGTAGAAGCTCAGTAATCCACAGGAGGCCACACATCTAGCGCAATGGACATTTGCCTGGCATTTACCACCCAGCATTTGCACCCCCTTTGGATGTTCGGAGAATAGCTCCCCATGTGACCCTTTGGGAAACAGACTCTCTAAGAAGCAGTGAGGTGGTTGGGAGCCCAGGTTCCAGCTTCAGCCTATCGAGGTAGGAAGGCAGCCTAGCCATTTCTCAATTGTGTAACTCTGGGCAATTTACTTCACCTCTCTGAGCCTCAGTTTCCTCATCTCTGCAATGGGAGAGATAATAGTACCTTTGAGTGCTAGAAGATTAAATGAGTTAATTCAGTGCCCAGCAAATGTGAGCTGTCACCATGTCCCCACTCCGGCGCTACACACCTGGAAGCCTACTTTCCCAGCTCCTTGACATCAGGGTTTAGGCACAAGGTCCTGCCTGAGGCAATCAGAGGCTCTTGTGCAGGATATTTCATCTGGAGCAAGTGACCCAGGGGATCTGAGCAGCAGCAGTGGCCAGATGTTCAGTGTGCAAAGCAGCACTTTGTACCCCTCCTCAGTGTCTTCCTGCCTGACCATAGCTTTGGCCTTGTTCTTTGTCCCTGTGCATGGTCCAGCCTGGGTCCCCAACCTTCCTATCCAACACTGAGTACAGCCCAAGCTCCTCTCAAGACATCCTTCTCAGCTTCAATTAACCATAGTCTTTGCTTTCTTACAACAAACTCCACTGTCTGGAACAGCTGTGTAAGGGGCAGGAGAGGTGAATACATGTCTGTCTGGATCCAAAGAGCCAGCTGTTTCCACCATGTTATGAATAGGCCCTGAGCCTGGTCTTGGAAGAGGGACTGAGGTGAGAGAATCTAGAGTCCTGGGCAGAGCGAGTGAAAAGGGTCAACCATCCTGAGGCCAACTTTTTTGCTTTGACACCTGCTTGGAGATTGATGACTGGAGAAAAGGGAACGGGGAACAACATCCTACCAGGCAACTTTTCTGGTGGCAGGTGAACCACAGCTGACCAGCAGTCTCTACTCTGATGTCCTGCAAGCCCCTCAAACTTTCCATGTCCCAATATGAGCTCATTACTACCATCCTCCCTCACACTGCCTGGTCAAGGCCAGCTTCTGCCCCCAGGTCCCCATCTTGCACACAGTCACACCTCTCTCCAAAAATCAGAGCAGAAATCTGGAAGCCACTTCTTACATTCTCCCTTCTGCCCCCTGCCCCTCTACCCTGTGCCCACACAATCATCAGGACCCAAGAAGAGTTATTTGAGTTAATAGTCCTCTGTTCTAGGCCCACTTGCAATCCCTCTCCTTTATCTTGAGGTCCCGGATCTATGCTTAAATCTCCACTACAGCCCCCTGCCCCATTTCTGTGCTTCAGCCTGCACCCAAGGCTTCTGCTCTGCCATGTAACCTTCTCATGTCTTCCTCTGCTTGAAGACCCCTCATGGGTCCCACTGCCCACCAGAGAGAGGAGCTGGGCCAGGCTGTTGTCTATTTCCCCACCTTCCTCCCACCCCAGTTTTCTCTGGCCTGTGGACACCTGGGTCCCAACCTCAAGAAAGAGCCTGTGGTGTGTTAGGTCTTCCATACTCTCTAATGCCCTTTGATCCACAGGACCTGCTCTGATGTCAGTTGGTCAGATGAAGTCCCTCACTTTTCTGTGCATTTCCTCAGTCCCCTGGGAACCCCTGCCACAGTGCTTATCTTGGATCATCAGTCTTCCCAACTGTTCTGTAAGGCACTCAAGGATGGAAACTTAACCTACTTGTCTCTGCTCTTCCAGGCCAAACAAGCTTGGCATGTGGGGAAGAGAGCTCAGCACACCACGGATGGATGAATGAATGAATGAATGACCAAACGGGACCCCTGTCCACTTAAAAGACTTTATTGTGTGATGCAGATCTTCAAGGTGTCTATTTCTCTGCCCCGCCTGGAGATGTGTCAGGGAGGGAGATCAGCCAAGAGTGAGCAGAGAGGACTGACCTGTGTGCAGAGGTGCTAAGGCAGCTGCAGGACTCCAGCTGGGCTGTGTTGTAACAACAGCAAACTCAAACCACACTCCGGGCAGCTAAACCATGAGGTTGTTATGCATATAAAGAAACACAGTCACATGCTGGGTTCATCTCCTACATCCACCCAGGATCAGATCCTGAGGGTATCAGGCCAGCCATGGCAAGTGGTGGAGGCAGAGAAGACCTGGGGACCAGGTGTGAGCAGAGTGGGATGGGGACAGGGAACAGTGGAGCACATCTGCTCCTTGACCAAGGCTAATAGCACAGGGCCAGGGTGGGAGGGATGAAGGGAGGTGATGTTACCGGACAGTGGACGTGGCCCTTGGTGGGTCTGCCCACGGCCAACTGGTAGTATGTGAGTTCTTGACTGCACAGGAAAAATTTCACAATGTAAGTCCAGGGACTATGAGGGAACATTCATTAAAGCTGAGGACAGTAAAACAAGAAAGGCCTTAGCATAGGAGAAGCAATAGGAGAGCCTAGGCTGGGCTGCTCTGGCTCTCTGGAAAGTGAGA